TGACAGTAATTAATTACAGCTGAATATGGTATGATAATAGGCTCTACTGATATAATTAGCTTCAAGAGCCTCCAAAGTATATTTCTGCCCACCTGGTTCATCCTTTATAACTGTAATTAAAAAAAGGTCATTTGGGAAAGATGTGCTTTGTTGCCTCTTGATTACAACATTCAGCATGTTTTTGTCATGGTCTCTCAACAGGGCACAGTAGCGGAAAACCACATGCAAATTTGAAATGGTCTAATTTGCTAACACAAAGGTTGCAAGTTTAATCCAAAAGAGGTCTGACCCAGAAAATTGAGTTGCTGAAATCCCAACACTCTTCAGTGACCACTGGGCTCTTAAACAGGACACTAAACTCCAGATTGCTCCAGGGACGGTCTCTTATACAACGCAATTAGCATCACTCTGAATAATAAAAGTGGCTGCTAAATGGAAAATAATTTACTTTCATTCACAAATAACATATTAAAGTCATATTCGTCATAATACGTCTGACCATTGTCTTTTAAATTGTAAAATTGGCCTATTAATGTTCCATTTTGCTTGTGTAATATAATGTAATATAGCTATCATATTTTAAGTTAGGTTTAGTTAAGCTATAAGTGAACAGTGGTATATGATACTGGCAATGTGTCAAAATGCACTGTGATATTCCCTCAGTTCAGACAGTCACACAGGTCATATCTGTGGCTACCTGCAAATCATCGGCTCAGTTCCCTTAAAACAAAATGAACAAAGCTTTAGCGGTTCCCTAGTCAGCTATGTTTTCCTGAGATCAGCCAGGAAAATTGCCTGAGCCTTTCTTAGCTGTAAACATGAAAGTGAGACATAAATCTTGTGTAAAATATTTGTCGGTTATCTTCTGCTAGAAAACTCCACTTGATACAAATTCCCCAGCATGCCAGACACCAATACTCTCTGGCTAATTTATCCATACGCTGTTGGTTATGTGTTCTGGTATAGTGAGCCCATGGCTTGAGTGAGAAGTCTCTACTATCAGCCGCTAGCTGGGATCAACAAACCATTGAATAGAGAAGCCTGTTTCAAAATTACAAAATGGTTGTAAAACCAGCGAGCATAGAAAGAAAGGTTAAAAGGTGCATGACCTGTTCAATCATAAAATGACAATGAGAAGAGAATCAAGGTGGACACACTGAAGTGAGACTGACAGTGATTTAAAGGGCATCTGAGGTCAGCACAGAGCTGGTGACACTTGAGATGTGACAGGAGAAATAAATGTCCCTCTGAATCCATCCCTCTGCCGGATTAATTCAGCTGGCCATATTCCATTCCACTGTACAGAACTGTTAAAAGAATCTCTGTCTTCCTCATTGTATAAATTACAACCAACTTTACCCAGCTTTATTTGATTAAAATTATTTGGCCCAAAATACAGTAAATTTTGTGAAATACCATTACAGTTTAAAGTAACTGTTTTCTATTTCAATATAATTCCTCTTACGGTAAAGTTGAATTTTCTGTCATTATTCCAGTCTTCAGTGTCACACAGTTCTTCAGAAATCATTCTAATATGATGATTTGCTGATTATTTGATGCATAAAGTTCAAAAGTACAGTATTTATCACATTTTTGTAACATCGCAAATGGCTTTACTATCTTACTACTTTTGATCAATTTAATGCAACCTTGCTGAATAAAAGCACTAATTTCTTTCAAAACTTTTGCTGATCCCAAACCTCTGAGCAGTGGATTTATATATATAAATGTGCTGACAGTTAAGCTTACATTACTTAAGATACATTACTGACTTGTTGATGACTTTCACCTGGGCTTATGTTGGAAAAACAGCTTCCCATTCTAATTGCTGTTTTGGGGGAAATTGGCAGATAAGTTTCTGCAGAGGCAGACAAACAAATCCACATATCTCGCTAGATAAAGCTGCACTGGGAACTGTCATAAGAAACAAGATCCAAAGGATATTACGTTTATATAATACAATAAAGCCTTGAAGGTTGCCAGGGAAGTCAAATGCACAGAACCACTAAAAAAAATACTCCGCTGCTCCAACAGAATTGTTGATAAGCGTGTCAGATTCTCACTTAGTTCTGTACATATTTGAAAGGGTCAGTGGATGTCAGGGAAACAGACTAACCTCGAGGCATTTTGTCTCATATTTCCTCAGAAACAATTAATAGCCTTCATACAGTCGATAAGTCTGATTTTGAAAGCATTTTCTCTGCCAAGAATCAGAATAAAAGTAGTACAAGACAACCTACTGGTTGTGACCATACATCTATTATTCCCCATGCAGGGGGAAGAACGTCTTTTTCAAGCCGTAAGAACACAGCGTGTGTTCGCGCACCATAACAGACCACACCGAGCTTGCTGTCAGCTGGAGAAAAGCTGACTGAGTTGCATATGGGGAAGAAAAAGGTCTCCACAAGCCGTTGAATACTCTCTTCCATAGTCTCACCCTCGTTCTCTGCATCTCTCACACATGGTAATGATGTTCGCCCCGTGGGGCTTTGCATGCTCTCTTAATGGGTAAATTCATCAAAGTCAGTCCTGTTTCGCTGCGCATCCAGGTTAATTGTGTCTGTTTACACATGCACATGATATCTCTTCTTGTTTTTCCTCCCAAAGCAGAGCAAAACTGAGATGAAGTGTGTACCAAGACACAACATCCACTGCAACAGTGTGCAATAGAGCAGTCAGCCATCACTGTACTCTCTTAAAAATAAAAGGATTTTTTTAAAGCAATGCCGTAGAAGAACCAATCTGGGTTCCTCACAGAACCTTTCAGTGCACACACAGTTCTTAAAAGAACCATTTTGGAGAACATTTTAATAATCTAAATAACTTTTTCTGAAATTAAAAGGTTCCAGGGATGTTAAAGTTTCCTCATGGAACCACAGATGCCAATAAAGAACCTTTATTTTTAAGAGTCACACAGCGAGAAAGAGAGAGACAGTCTGTGGACTCATTTTCCAGGAGAGACTTCCATGCCATCACTCTTGACTGGGTATTTGTCTGTTTCTATACAGAAGAATGGCACTCGCTGTGAACTCACGCTCATGCCCTTGGGACACTGGGCATTTCTCCCATGTGCCTAGAGCATATTGTGAGCCATCTGGTGCCTATCTCATATCCCTGTGAGGTAGTAAGCGACTAAAGAAACAGCAAGCTATCAATCAAAGAGCCAATGAAATCTTATCTTTGCAAGTCAGTGTTCTCTATCCTATACACACAATCCTAAAATGATTGACAGCTGTATTCGATGGACTTTCTCTTCATATCTTCTCTCAGTGCAAAGAGGTTTTCCTGTATGTCTAAAATATTCTTTTTAATAAATGTCTTGACTCTTGCAAAGGTATTAAGATTGGGAAAGTACTGTACAATATGTCTTATTCATGATCTCACCACAAGACTTCACCGTTCAAAACTAGACATTTTTCTTTTGTGTCAACCACACCCACATCTTAAGAGCCCCAAATGTCATAACAGGAAGTACTAAGATCCACTGATGTACATTAAAGCACTGTACAACCTGGAAATGGTTTTTAAGCTGTTGACACTTGCGTTTTTAATAATAAAAACATCCAAACTTTGTTTAATAATATTCATCAACATAATAACTGTAATGATATTTATGAAATATTTACAGAACATTGCAAAAATAGTCTTTTAAGTTTTTTGTGACTTGCCTTCCAGTACAAATATCCAAAAATAACAAATTTAGAAGCAACACTGCATAAGATATTAAGACTTTCATAGATTACATCTTGAAGTTAAGTATATATGTTATCTTACTGCAGTGGCAGATGTTTTCACTTGTTTTTAACTTGTTTATCCTTAAAAACAAGTGTAATAAGAAAAATACACTCATATTGAAGATGCAGTCTCTGAAAACAAGACTTAATATCTTATGCCTGCTGCTCTTTCAAAAGTAAGTTTGCTTTGTTTCACAGAATTTTAGATATTTTAATTGGAAAACAAATCTCATTAAGAAAAGGATTTCTGGTACTGTAGTAATATCAGTTGCATACTTCTTAGTGGCATGGATTTTTCACAATTAACATTTTATCAAGATACTAAGCAAAGGGTCCCCAGAGAGTTATTATTAGTATAAAAATTGTTTGTGTCTTATTGGCTTAATCTAAATCTGCACTCTCCACCACAATGCTTCTCTAGCAATTTGGCAACTGACTCCAATCTTGCTGCAGTTGGGCTCAAAATCTTTGCGCCAGCTTGAGCTGATTATCTCCACTCAGATAGAAGCAAATCATTTGGCATCAAATATGCTTCACTTGGTTTTCCATAAAAGACTTGCTTGTGGGTGGTCCATAGCTAACTGGTCAAGCAAAGAAGATGACACAAAGCAAATAAGTACAGTTTCCACAGAAAAACTCAAGTGAAAAGAGAAAATTGGTTGTCATCAAGCTAGTATGGATTTGTGATATGATCGAGATGTTGAAGAATGCTAACATTATGAAATTCATCACTCCCTGACAGCTATTTTCTCATCGTAGATCAGCACACACATGAACGATTACAGCAAACTGACATGGTGAATGTATGTCTCTTTCTCTTAAAAAACATTTAGACCTTTAAATGTTGGAGCAGAGGTTTACCACTGGAGCCACGGATGGTATATGAAATGCATAGCTATAAATTCTTAGTATTATAAAGGAAGACTTCATGGTTTTCTATATGCTTCCAAGCAGACACTTTTACATATTTAGGCAACTTCGCTTTACTCATAGAGACCATGAAGGTCAGGGAAGAAAATAAATATTCTATACACAAAGAAACTGAATAAATATCAAGGGATGACAATGCACTAGCAAACAGCGAAATAAACTCATTCAAATTCAAATCCAGTACTGAGCAATATTCATGACTCTGTGTGTCTGCCCTACCCTCATTGTATATATTTGCTGACCAAATTCCTTTCGCTTTCAAGCATTAACTTGCCGACAAGACTTTAAAGATTGCAAATCTAAAGCATATAAAATTTAAAGGCAATGCAGCAGTACCTTTCTGTAAGCAATCATGTTGGGTGAATCCTCATCTGGGTCAGCTATGCCCACTGCACCTTGGTCCTGAGAGGCCTGGGCCATGCTTGGTCTCTTGTTCTCTCTTTCTGTCTCTGTGGGGAAAGGACAGAACAGAAAAGAGATCAGTCAAACAGAATAGATTACAGGGTGTCGCCCAGACAATGAATTAAATATGTACAGTTGTTTGTGTGAAAGTGTGAATGAGATTTGAGAAAGCACATGGAAGTATTTTCAATAAAACATTTCTTAAATTTCACTGTTTGTCAAAATACTATCAAGACTTGGGAACTGATAAAAAAAAGCTTTTATTTCCACTGAGGAAAGAAAGTCCTGCAGTAGGGTTTTTCAAAGTGTGGGGCCATTGTAAGAGCAGCATGGAAGACTGCCTCAAATCTTTTACAGTTTCACACATTCAATTCGAACACGTTGATGATACATATGGGAACCAGAATTAATTTCTTGATCTCCAGCACCTTATGGAGTACTTGTACAGTATATGTCAGATATAAATGGGTGGAAGGGTATATTTTCAAAGAACAATGACTTAAATTTCAGGCTATTCAGTTAACACATGCTTTATGCGACTCAGAATATACAGTACTATCAGATGATTCATGTGAACCATGTTATAGAATATAGAATTTCACACTCATACAATGGGGAAAATATTTATTTGATCCCCTGCTGATTTTGTAAGTTTGCCCACTTACAAAGAAATGAAGGGTCTGTAATTTTTATGGTAGGTTTATTTTAATGGATGGAGACAGAACACCAACCAAAATATCCAGAAAAAACACATTATATAAAGGTTAGAGATTGATTTGCATTTCAATGAGTGAAATAAGTATTTGATCCCCTATACTAACCAGCAAGAATTCTGGCTCCCGCAGATTGGTTATGTGCCCATGTGGAACACAGATTAGTCCTGTCACTTTAAGAAGTTACTCCTAATGTCAGCTGGTTAGATGTATAAGACATCCGTCCACACAATCTGTATCTTCCATTCCAACCTCTCCCACCACCATGGGCAAGACCAAAGAGCTGTCAAAGGATGTCAGAGACAAGATTGTAGATCTGCACAAGGCTTGAATGGGCTACAAGACCATCAGCAAGAAGCTTGGTGAGAAGGAGACAACTGTTGGTGCGATTATTCGGAAATGGAAGAAATACAAAACAACCATCAATAGGCCTCGGTCTGGAGCTCCGTGCAAGATCTCGCCTCATGGGGTAAAGAGGATCATGAGAAAGGTGAGTGATCACAATGACCCAAAACATACCGCCAAGGCAACAAAGGAGTGGCTCAAGAAGAAGCACATTAAGGTCATGGAGTGGCCTAGCCAGTCTCCAGACCTCATTCCAATAGAAAATCTGTGGAGGGAGCTGAAACTTTGAGTTGCCAAACGACAGCCAAGAGATTTAGATAGGATCTGTAAAGAGGAGTGGACTAAAATCCCTCCTGAGATGTGTGCAAACCTGGTGACGAACTACAAAAAAATGTCTTACCTCTGTGCTTGCCAACAAGGGTTTCTGCACCAAGTACTAAGTCATGTTTTGCTTGGGGATCAAATACTTATTTCACTCACTGAAATGCAAATCAATTTCTAACCGTTATATAATGTGTTTTTCTGGATTTTTTGGTTGGTGTTCTGTCTCTATACATTAAAATAAACCTACCATAAAAATTACAGACCCTTAATTTTTTTGTAAGTGGGCAAACTCCTTTGAGCAGGGGATCAAATAAATATATTCCCCACTGTAAGGTGCGTCATGCACTATTCTAAGTCATTTTTTATAGTATTTAGTTTGAGTAATGTGTAGGCTACATGCTGAAAATTCATCAAGAAAGCATACTTAAATTACCCAGATAATGCGGATAATAATTTAAAAAACGAGTAAGGGTGGACACCCTATGCACTCAAGTGTTAATTTTTTTCTTTATGTAGCCAAAGGGAGAAATTTTTTTGGGGGGATATTTTAAAAGTTACTTTCTATAGCCTAATGAAAATGTTTATTTGCAAAAAAAAAAAAAAAGGTGCAAAAATACAGAAAAAAATAGGTCTAGAAAGAAAAAGTTCCTTCTGGTTAATTTTCCTCAGTTAAGAGTTTAATGTTTGGAGAAAGCGCGGGTGAGATCTCGCGATTCGCGCCCTTTCTAACGGACAGCAGCTGTCCTAAATCAATATCATATTCACTTAAATGACAGAAAAACGTTGGTGCCGGAATAACGAAATTATACCTAGAAAATAAATGTGGTTATGTCCACCTCTAATTACCTTAAATCTGTAAGTTCACTTGTTGTAAGGTTATGAACGCCGAGGGATTCAGCTTTCCACGCTAATAGGTTGCTCAGAAAGCGATTTATCGACCACTCATAATTGGAGTCAGCAGAGAAGACAATAGATCAGTTTTCAGTTTCACATAATGGAGAAGGTACTGTATGTTGACAATGACATAGGCCTACACATCATTCTATATAACCAACATATGTGTAGCTTTTTAGTGGAGCATGTACTGTTAGGCTACACTACAGGGATTGTAGCGTCTTACCTGAAACTACAGAGAGGTTTTTGAGTCTTAACACTACTCTATTAAATTCTTGTTTACTTTACATATTAAATACAACAAACTACAGACACGCCTGCACTCTACATAAACCCTAACGGCGCTAGAAACATCCCTAAAACCTTCCCGGTTAAACCTCGATTATTTTAAGATGTCTAGCATTTGCATTTTACAAACAGTGGAAACATGTCTGTTACTACAAAAAGAACCGACAAAGAAAAAAAGACTCCATGCATTTGGTCTTCAGCACAGGCTGCACGAGTGCGCTAGAAAAGACGGAAGATAGGCTACTCAAGTGTCTGCTCGAACCATTTGTGGACTTATTTTCAGTAACCCTCAATCGGTTATGCTCTTCCACGTTGGCCACACGAGGAGTGCGCGCTCACAACAGCTGTTTGTGATCAACACCAGCGAACCCAAAGGTAGAAATGTTATTAATTTGCGCGTGGGCATGATTTCCCAGCGCCGCATTGCACTACAAACATGTGCAGCTATTTAAAAAAGACAAACAGCTGCTTTCAGAGCGCAATCCCCACAGGAACACCGGTCCCAATTCACACAGCACTCCACAGAGCGATGCCGAACATAGGAGACAGAAAAACCCTGTCACTGAAAGACACGCGCTAGCCTCAATACAAGCGCGCGCGAGGCGACAGGATGCACTTCGGGAGCCACTTGAATTCAGCGCTGGACATGACAATTGATCATTCAGCGCCAGCGAACCCATGTTCAAGTTTTTAGTGACACACAGTCACACACAAACAACTGATGACTGGAAGAGCGCTTTACCTTAGGAAGTACCGCCTTTCCCCTCCTTAGCAACTAGAAAGGAGCAGGTTCATGATCTAAATGGCTTGAAGAGACTGTGGTGGTGATGATGATGATGATGATGGGGTGTTGGTGGGGGGATGATGAAGAAGAGAGTCCAAGGAGCTGTGCAGCTGTGGAAAGCAGTGGGTCCCTTTCACTCTGTCCGTCTCTTGCGCGCACTGGATCTCTGCGTGGGTGGTCGCTGCGTGGAGTGGAGTGCTCAGGTACAGTGTGAGGATCCTGGCATGTGCGCAACTGAGTGTGAGTTTGTGTGTGTGTGTGTGTCAGAGGCAGGGAGGGAATGAGGGAGGATAAAAGAGGGTGGGGGTTTGGGGGTGGAGTGTCTCCCTCTGTAGTTTCTGGCAAGCAATTTTGAAACATGTATTTGTTTATTAAGAGAAAACGCTTTTTCAGGCATACCAGTTTGAATTTCTGTCATGTGATTACAAACATTCAATGGAGTAATCACCTCTAATCTGTGTTTTTCTCTCATTGGGATTTCTTGCTACATTAAAATTAATTAGACAAACTGTGGGGCGTCAGGATTAGGGTTTAAGAAAATAAATAAATAAACTGCTGGATCCCCAACATGTAGGCTATTACAGTCCTTTGGATCACAAAGAACTGTAATACATGAACATATTTTGTTTTTAATAGCATTATAAGTAGACCATATAAATGTTAGTGATTTCTTGTGCCAAAAACAAGACTATAAACTAAAACTATGCAACACGTGACATTTCACACAAAAAAATGTGCTGCTCAAACATGTAAGTGTCATTTAAATGATCAGGGTTTTTTCAGAAGGATGTGTAGAGATAAACAGCCTCAGAAATAACCAAAACAACCAGGTTGGACACACTTGGTCACATATTTCTAGTTGTTTAGGAAGAATAGGATTATAATACAGTAGTCAACATTTGAAGTGGATCAAAACCTTTCATCAAAGTTGTCCTAAAACCAAAATATCTTGTCTTCAGATAACTTTTTTGATCCACTTCAAATGTTGACTACTGTACATGGAGAGAGCGAACTAATCATTCTGGAGCCGCAGGAGAATGCCATCATGCAATGCTGATTGGATGTTACTGCAAGAATGTGCCCATTACTAGACACTGCCCTAATGTCAAAGGAGCAGACAGAGAAAATATACAGTAAGTCCATTTTATGCTTTTAAAACCAGGCACTGGAGTTTCATTTTATTTATATGCGTCTTACTAAAAATGCTGTTCTATCAGAATACACAACTAATGTTGAATGGCCATCAATGGAAGATGATGTTTTTCACAGGACCTGGAATCAAAGGGAAGGAAAAAAAGAGGTGCTGTTTATTTTGTCATTCCTCATCAGTGAGTGTGACAGACCTGACTGAAGAGGGCAAGATCTCATCAAAAACAGTTGTCAGGTGAGAAATGCTTGACTACAACTGAGCTGTTTCAAGATGGCTAGTGGGACGTCTTATGCCACTTTAATCAAGCTGAAAAGTCTATATAAAAGCTTTTTTGACTGGGACTAGAAATGAGAGTAGAACATTCTGAAAGTTAGAGTTTTTATAGTACATCAAGCGCTTTTATCTGAAAAGATCAAGGGAAATCTGATTCCTCAAATATGATCCCTTTAAAACAAAAGAAGAAGAATACATCACATATCTGGGAGATACAGGGAGCCTGAAAAAGTGTTTAATATATATGTTGCACATTGCAAAACGGGTATTTAATACCACTGCATTGATGAGAAATGGATCAGATGGATTCAAAAAATGGAAGGAAATGTTAATTAAATGCATTGCAAGTTCACACTGTTAATTCATCCACATCAGAATGTCACACATCTGGACCACAGAGAACACATTGCCTTTTGTCTCCTGTTCTCGAGGAAGCCTGCAGGTCCACTCATGCCATCTGCTACTTCATTTGTCTGCAGCATCCCCTCTTCCATCCCATACATATGCACACATACTCTCACACCCAAATCCCCCCTTCTCTTTTTTTTCCCCACTGGCTCTTAATTGGCCTTCTGGCACAACTGAGATGAAACATACCCACAGGGAATCCTGATGGAGTTCTAGGAGTTGCTCTTTACTTTTTGTTACATTTTCTTCAGCTTCTTATAAAAGATGATGCAATAAGGAGTGATTTATAGAAAGAAAAAGTGCACCTTGCAACTTAGAGTAAGTTGCCAGTATATATAGGAGACAGTGTTGCTCAAGACCATTGCATTTACAGTCTAGCAAGGGCCTTTGTTATCAACCCTTGACCAAATAGCAAGTACTCTACTGTGCAGAGAACAGCCAGGAAAGGGCTATTTATTAGTGTCAGGAAGTGTCCTTTATCGCACACTCTAACCAGCCCCTTCCTGAGCCCTAGGTGTTAACACATCTCTTACACTATTTTTGGGGCTCTTTGTCCTGCATGGTTTTAGTCTGGATGTATAAAAGTGGCACCGCTGAGCACAAGTGTATTTACACAAGTATATACTTTGAGGCTAAAAAACTGGTTGTTTTCAAGCTACGATAAACTTGCCCCATGCTGTGATTCAAAATATGGATGCTCCAAACAGGCATTAGTACATCCTCAAATGCTTGCTTCTCCGAAATCAATACCGTCAAAAGCCATTAGGGAGGAGTAATTGTTCATCATGTCTAAATCACAAATGTATTCAGTCAACCACTCACTCAAAGAGGCATGTGTACACACATATACAGTCATAATGGACATTGGCGCATAGCGGCATCAGCACAAATTGTCAGTATCAGAAACCCACCCACTCCAGGCTAGATTAATTATTTAGACTAGTGAGAGATGCAAGAAATGCACAGAGGTGTTTCCCTATCTCCAGTAGTCTAATTGCATTGCACACACACACACACACACACACACACAATCATCTCACTAAATTAGCTGTTTTCCATTTCATGCGGACAAGAAATAATCTTCCATTGAGCTGCAGGATGAATATCTGTTGCAAATGCAAGCGTTTTCTCCTTGCTTGCACTGAACTAAAGATATTTCCGTCTTGAAAGTAATGTTCCAATATACATTAGGTAACATGTCGCAAGAGTGTTACGTTTGCAGTGCATTTATGTTCTTTCCTACCAAAGAGACCTGCAGGAAAGGGCACGTTGCGTAAGTGCCAATTATTAGAGCAGGTAGCTTAGAAAACAAGTCAAGTGTTAAAGTCTGACTGTGCCTAAAGCAATAAAGAGGTGTCTAGTATTAAGCTAAAATCAAACCTAGTGCACAGTTAATACCAGCAACAAAATTTGTGACCAAAATGATAATCAAAGAAGGTTGTCTAAAAAACTGCAAGATATTAAACAAAAATGGTTTCATATATCAACCTCGGTCAAAAATGCTATTGGGTTCCTCACCTAAACGCATACTGTTCATATGAGAATAATAACGTGAATGTTATTAATAGTCAGAATGTCTAAAAATAGACAATAAATAACTAAAACATAAAGGTTTCACAACTTTTAATGCACTCAATGACTTAAATAGAAAAAAATGTAACTATTTTTACCAAAAGAAAAAAAACTAACACTGCTAGTTCAGAGCAAATGCACATTGGTATTGCAAAATTAGTAGGTTAAGGTACAGTAAGAGTTGTAAGAATTACAGAAGTGAGAAGAAAAGGGTGTATTTTTTATGGCATTGGTTCTTTGTCTAATTTCTCTCCTGGTTCTTTTCTGTGATTAGTGCAAATTGTGGAGAGCTCAGTCTACTGACAACCGCACAGAATTCTGACAGCATCTACAACAGCCAGCACTCTTGGGAAAAGCTCTAAGCTCTTTGCTCCCACTACTTGCTCTACAACATGTTTGTTTCAAGTGCACTAAAAATTCCCCATTGCATTGTTCAACCCAAGTTCTCCACTCCACTTCAGTCTGGGTCTGAGCACTCAAGTCTTCTACATGTCCATTTCCAATAGTCTGAGGCAGATAATAACACCATTGACATTTGCTCGCTGATATATCAGAAATGTCTTCTACCACATGCAAGAAAATCCAGCAAGGATATTGGACTTTCCTAGCTCGGGCAGTAAATGCTGCACAGACTTCTGGCCAGAAACGGCAGCTGCAGGTAAAGAGATGCCCTTTCTGTTCTTTTCCATTTTGGGTGAATATTAGCATTTCCACAAAGAGAAGCAGCTTAATTCTGCTAATTCAGCTATATCACTGCCACAATGACATTAGATGGGATTCAGCGGCCACAGTCACGGGAGGGTCAACGTCACAATCAGAGGCAGATCAGCAGGAGGACGTGAGGAGCCCTTGGCAATCCAGCCCTGCTCTTCAACAGGCTTTGCTGATTACTTACTGCAAGGTGCAATTATCCTCGCCGTTACCGTGGTAAAAATCAGCCTCTCCCACAAAAGCACAACACTGATGGAGAGAAAGACAAAAACATGAAACAAGGGCACAGATTGCAGCAATAATAATAAACACGAGGAGACGTGGAATGACATTCAACTATGGCATTTAAATTAATTTATTGGCTCAGAAAGCAATGGCAGATTACACCTCATAGAGCAGGC